GGGTGTAAAGCTTCTGGGGAAAACACTGCGCATGACAATCCTTACCGAGCAGTGGAATGTTCTCTCCGCCTGCCAGTCTCTTGTTCACACGCCATGCGGCCATGTGCTGATGCATGTGGGGTTGATCCGGGCTTCATCTGTCATCACTGATAAGGGCTTTGGAGCCCGGTGTGACAAAAGAAGACTGGGGGGGGTGGTCTGCACCATCAGTTCCCCCAAGCGAGCTTCGGGTGGTTGGGCTGCCTCGCCTCGGGGAAAAACCCACAACTTTGAGAGTTGCCGAATTGCCCAACCTTAGAAATCTGAGAACACCCTCGTGAATCAGCCTTAGATTGTTCATGAATCAGCCTCTTATGGGAGGGTGGCCCCGAACTCCATCGCCGGCGCCTTGCACGTCACGCGAAGAAACTGCGGTTCCACGAAACTCGAGTCATTCAAACAAACCATGCCCATCCTGGTCCTGGAAACCATTGCCCATCCCCAACACATCCTATCCCCAACACACTCACTGACCAAGTTGCGCCCTGAAATTTAAAAGGGATGTCTGCGGTATGATGTATGTGAAAAATGTATGATGTCCATTATCATGTTGCTATCTGGTTGCCAGGGCCTCTAACACTTATATACGCATTGATAGAAGCAACAGGCCTGAATATCATACACGTTCATTGAGCAAAATTAGCCTTCCGACAACTCCACTAAGATCTTATCTGGCACCGGCATCAGCCACATTGTTCCTGCATCATGTCATTAAAATCACCACAACTATTAAAAACAAACAATATAATATACATATAAATACCATCAACATGGCTTAAGGGTGACGGGTTCTTGCAGTGTTTCTGGGATCGTTCCCAGACCGCCATGGGTTCGGAGTGAATTCTTGGAGGTTCCTTCCTGCCTGTTTATTGCTTTCCGCCAATGCGTATACATATGCCCATATGCCCTATTCTGAAGAGAGGCCAGCGCTATGGTATACATCTTAGTTGTTGATTCTTGTGGCCTGATTGAACTGTCTGATCTAGCTTGCGCCCGTCAGGTGTGTCACCTTGTTAAGTTTTCTAGGCTTAAATCACGGGAGCGATTGGGTCAAAGGTGAGTTCTGGGCATAAGTTTTACACATCTTGAATTTGATGCGCGGGTGCTTGGAACCACCTAGGTGCTGGGACCTCCGTCTGTTGATCTTGAACTATAGACGGTTCAAAACCACAAGCAGGGAGGCAAGGGCGAAACGCATTGAAACGCCCTGGCCACTATATACCTTCTCCCAAAAACATGGCTCCACTCCATGAAGTCGCAGGGGTGATGTTCATTTGTTGGATGTGATGTGATGTTCTTTGCCTCGACTTTCTCCACCCCTGGGGTCTGAAAGCAGAACCCAACCGGTCCGAGGTGTTTTCTTTGCCGCCTTCAGAGGCGGGTTCCAGCCAGCAGCTCCAGGAGCAAAGGTGTGGCCCTGATGAACCAATCGCGAGTCCCACGCAATGAAGGCCGACCTGATTGAAGTCCCACGGTCTGAGTCACACGGTCTGCACGGTCTGCATGCCATGAGAAAAGAAGACCAAAACCACAATTGGCAGCTGGGATGGTAGAAGTATTTGTTGCATCCGAATCTATCAGTTATATAGCCAGCCATCTATAGCCTAAGAAATCCATAATGGATCCGTGGTCTAATTTGCGGCTCTGGCGGTGCCAAACGAACCGCATCTGGGTTGTGCTATCCCATCATTAATCATGAATTATTAATCATCCCTTCAAAAAGCCTGTGCTGTTCCGCCCAAGCTCATCATATGTATATATAATATTTGTCATTTTCCCTGAGACTGCTGTGTCGAGATAGGCTAAAACATATTGAAAAATCACAGGCGACCTGGCGATCTGACTTGATCGACCGTCCACATCTCGCAGTTCAGACGCTCATGGCTCGTGGTCGGCGAGGGTCGCACATCCAGCTGCACCGCGCGTTGTGCCACGGAAGGGCTGGTGACCTGACGCTGCGACCGGACGGTCTGCGGACCGTCAGCTCCTTCTTTGGACCGGTGCCCCTTCTGAGAGAAATGGCCAAGCTCCCCCCTCTCAGCGTCTCAGCGGAGGAGCCGGGAAAGAAGGCATCTATATACATGATATATCCACGGGGGACCCTTTAGGACCACTACATACCAGGACCATCCCATGGGTGTCCAATGGAGACTGCTGTCTTTGGCGTTAATTTGGTGATTCGGCCGCAGCCAACAGCCAGTTTTGGTTCTGACGCCCTCCTTGTGTCCCCAGGCATCCAAGTAAGGTCAAATGAAGACGATATAAATGAAGGCAACACACCATCACTTTCTCTGAAACAAGAACCCTTTTGGGGTGAAGCCTTGACACTGCAAGTGTCGTCACAACTGGGATCTTTCCAGTAAAATCTGGCCAAGCGTATCTGGGAAAAACAAACTAGGAGTCGGAGTAACAAACCCTCAAATTTCAGGAGACCTCAGTCTTCTGGTTGTGAAAGGAACAGGAACTTGCTTTGCAATGAGGCATGTATTTTTTGCATTGTTTGTCCGACATGCAGAACAAGATGCAACATAATGTATCAATATAGCCTTCTTCGCTGGCTTCACGTTTCACTCACTTGAAGCCAATGACTCCGCCCAAATGACTTGATCCCAGGATGTTCATTTTTGGGACCGCACATGAAAAGCCAAGACAAGCCCAAGTTTGCTGCAATGCAATGCTGAAAAGTAAATAACCATAACATGTTTAGAACAAATCACTTGTTAGGACTGGTGCAACAGGGAAGTGCTCGCAGGCTTGGGGGGGGGCCTTTCACTTCACATGGTTTTGAGGAATAAAGCGCTCGCAGGCTTCAGCATACCTCTCAAAAGTTGTTGCTAACCAATGGCTGTTAAGCTGTCCCTAAGGGCCAATCGCCTTAGAACACCTCCAAAACCTACAGGTCTAGGTATGTCTAGGTTACAGGTGGTAGGTTACAGGTTGTCGTCTTTTGGGCCCGGCTTTACATGGTTTGGTCAACTTTCTCACTAGTAACGTCTTTATACGTCTATATGCGCTTAGAAAACGACCATGACAATATGGAGACCAGAGTTATCAGGCTCTTTAATCCAACATAACAGCCATTTCCTTGCAAAACGCTGCCCAATGGCGGATCCCGTTGTCCCAAGTTCAACAAGAATTTTGGTCGCTAGACCGTGCTGCAACATGGAAACTGGGTGGGGATGCCCAAACAATAATTTATGCCCAAACAACAATTTATGCGCCTTCTCTTGAAATTGCCTTGATGGAGAAGAAGAAACACTTGGAGAACCTCTTGTGCTTTTATGCGCCTGTCACGGCAGGCCCCATGCAACAAATCAAAGAAGTATACCACGTCCACAACGTTCCATGGAACAGTAGAGATGCCCATCTTCCACTATCTTCCACTTCTTGGGGTCGGAGCCCATCGCCCCGGAACTCCGGAACCGTCGGCGCCTGCACGCGCGCACCGCTTCCGCCGCTTCCACGGACGCGTTGATAGGTGCCATCAGCATGCGAGCGCGGCACGACCTGGTGCGTTGGGACGCCGTGATAGGTGCGTTGGTGACTGTGAGTTCGGACCAGTTCGTGACGAATTCTTTGCAAGTGCAACTGGAGGACACAAACCGGCTCCAAGTGCATTCTGACAAGGTGTTTGGGAGGGCTTGGAGGGTCCACACACCATCTGAGGAGGCACTTGGAGCCCTGGGGAGACATAAGCCAAAAGTGCTGTGGCGATGTAAGGAAATGCGCGTGACTACGCGCATGTGAAAGCCGTGTTACGTGCTGTTCGTGTTGACCGTTCCTCGTACAAGATCTCTCGATGCCCATGCCGTATCCCCCGGCCCTTCGCGCATGTTTCAACCTCAAGACGAGGGACCACCAGGCTTCGGAAGCTTTTGCTGGCCATGGCGGAAGAACATGGAAAAAAGGCGGTAGGGCTGCGTCTGGAATCATCTTCTACCCCGATCCGGAAACTCTTTGCAATCCGTACATGCCCTGTCTATGGCTACAGCATCTACGGCGCATCCATTGACATCCATCGATCATGATGTCGGCACCAATCGCCGACACCACGGCGATTGACCAGGACTCTCACTGCTGCTGTGCCCCCGACTCTGAGGGATTGCCATCTGTGTTGTGTTTTTGGTGCCTTGCCCAAGGACAAAGGCCTAAATGCACAATCCTGACATCTCCAAAAGAAAAACATGGCTGAGCCAAAAAACTCATCCCAGGAATGAGAAGGGCAGCTATGGCAGAACGGTCCCAAGTAGCATACCCCCGGCTTCGCCTCAGCCAAGTCAGGAAGGTTCTTTTCATGTTGGGATGGATGTTCTCAATCACCCGACCCTACTGTATATCAGCTTGTACGTTGCCTTGATTGCTCAGAGTCAGGCAAATGCTGACCAATCTTGCTCCAAAGCTGTCCCGTTTCTCAGGCCGCACCAAATCCAAAGACTCATCTTGCCCGTGTTGCCACAGTCAGTGGTTTGTGAACTACTGCCCCCGTGGTACACTGGTGCAGCTCATGTAGTCTGTTACAGGCTACCCTGGGAGGTCCTGAGAGCAACCCACATCCGCAAGGGATTGTGTGCTTGAAGGGGTCCAGTTGCTCTTATGCAAGTAGTAACCCAACGGGGGAAGCACCTCGAATGGAATCTACAACACACACACACAGAGAGATGTATATATAAACGAAGGCTAAAACCATGTGCAAATCTGTTGAGCACCTTTCAATGCTGCCCCTTCCCAAGAAGCAAAGCATCTCTGAAACAATGATATCCATTTGGGAATAGGAGAGGGATCAGGTACCATGTATATTGATATTGGTTGTACACTTGTGGGGGGTCCTCTCTTTTTAAAACCAACCAACATCAACCCACCAACAGTTCAAAGGGCATCTTCTAGGGCCTTCTGCTCACTTCACACGGCCCGAGTGGCCCGGGTGGGGAGATCCGATGAACGATGAGGTAAGCGTTATCGGCCTTCCCCAAGCATCAAAGCGCCCAAAGTTTCAGAAACGATCACATCCTCAGACCACAAGGATCGGATGGATCCACTTGACTCGACAGGGGGCCGACTGACTCCCAAGGATGGCTGTGGGTGACCAATGGCTCCAGACCGACGACCGTTGACCTACCTCTTCCAGGTCAATCAAGCCACATGGTGGACCAGGCCTCCGGGTTTTGACCCATGTTCCCATTGGTCCCCATTCTGAACATGCGACATGGCACAGTTGATGGCACCGGCTGCTAGAAAAGCTTAGATGTAGGAGATCTCTATATATGTAGAATCAGACCTAAAAAGGAAGGATTGATCATGGAAGATGGCGGTCCCATTGCCAACTTCAGCAGTTCACACACCCTGGTGTGAATCGTAGATGTCACAAATCCCTGCCAACTGGGCATTTGGCTGCGCCCCTACCACTTGGCCAAATAGACTTGTCCTTCCTCCAAATGAAAAACGGACCATGCCCTGCTACGTGCCGTACGTGGAACATGAACATCGTCTTCCAAGAGCCGAGTTCGTCCGTCGTTCCTTTGTTGGATGAGCAGGTCAGCCCAACCCATGGTCAAACAGCCAAGATGCAGCCTTGCAGTCGTTCAAGTGCACTTTGCTACTCAAACCATGGATGATCCTTAGATCAACACCATTCAAAACCAGGAAAGTGTAAACAAAAACATGTGGACCGGCATAAGAGTATCCGACCCTGCGTACATGTTCATATTCCAGAAGCGAACAAAACCCCCCATCATTCGTTACCTCATGTGGCCTCTCCACCTGAAAAATCTGAAAAATACTTGATCCTCTACTACATCAATGTGGGGTTGAGCCCGACGTGCTCAAACCCAGAAGATAGATGTGTTTTTCTCAAACACCTACCCTGCTGCTTTTCCCCTATTCATGGGAAGCCTGGCGCCTTCCCACCTTGACTCCTCGGGTGACATCGTAGGTCGAGGTTCTGCAGCCTCTCTGCCCCGTTTCTCTCAGCATTCAGCCGAGCCAGGTCCACCATATCTTGGGAAGCCTGGCGGACCCTGGAAGACCCGGCACGCCCAGTAGCAGCAGTACTAGTAGTAGCAGCAGTAGTTTGTGGGCTCGGATTAACTGGGGCCAACTAAGTCATTCAGGAGGAAATTAGCCACCAATTATACTGTTAATGTATGCAATTTTTCGAGGCTTTGTGGGCTCGGATTGGCTAGGGGATAACTCTACATCAAATACTCAGGATGATGATGTGGTCATGCCTTGAGCTGCTACCATCTGCTTCTATGCCTTCCTCGGGTGTCAGTGGCACAAGCTTAGGCTTTCGATCGACGCTGCTTTTTGTGTCCGTGTCCAAGCTCTCTGAAGCGACCAGGGTATTAGTGAAAAAGAACGCAACTAATAATGACTCAGGCGTCCGCTGAGCCTCCTGAGGGTCCTGGAGATGTCCTCTGAACAACTCCAAGCAAATGATCCAACATGAGGGGGGTGAAAAAAAGTGTCCCAACATTACGCGTCCAGTCGACGAGTTCCGATCCAGCATGGCCTCGATGGCAATGACCTTCCGAGCCCCCAGCTTTAAAGCCATCAGCGCCAGCAAGCCACTCCCAGAGCCTCTGGGGAAGGTGAACTCTACGTCTACGTCTATACATTTAAGAGTCTTGGCAGACTTGCGTAGTAAAAAGCATTCAAACAAAAGCCCGGTAGCTAACACATGGCTCATGGAACATGCAAAAATTGCCAGCAACACTGACATGTGAACACAATGCTGACATGAGTCTTCAAACCAACAAGCTCAGGCTCCCGTGGCTCCCGGCTGGTCTTTACCCCAAACCAACATGGACTGTTTCTGCGGCCCCAGCCACCGATGTCAACCACACATTTGTCCTTCACGCAACGGCCCAAGGCGTCCCAGTAAAACTGGTTGCGGTGCGAATCGTTCCTCATGCGTCCCACGAGTGGTGCGAAGATGGCGCGACGCGAGACGCGAGATGCGACGCACACGGGACAAGTCATGGCCAAGAGGATTGATCAAAGGCAGGTCCCAAAGGTGGTTCCCTGAGCAACCCGAACAATGACTTGCAGTCCTTCGAATACATGAGTTGAGGCATGAGTTGCTGCGTTTTGTTTTAGTTAAATGACTTATACTATATATAGATTGAAAGTGGCAGCATTTGGGATGCCGAAGCATGTCCCTTTCGCTGGTCTCACAACTGTGTCGACTCGGTTCTGACCGCGCTTTTCCTGGGAAAAAGAAATCCCCATGTCCTCCAGTATATGTATATATATATAATATGCATCATCAAGCAACAATATAAGACTATCAAATATCATATTAATCAATATTTCATATAGGGTCTATCCTATTAGCTGTAACAGTGGATGATGATGGTTAGGTTGCAGGCCTTGTGCAAACATGGTGATGTGATGTGCATGTCTACTGACTGTTACAGGTAAGAACGGATATAGACCATGATAGACCCAATATATATCATAAACGCATTTTTTACACAGACCGTGGACCAAGGCGCAACATGGCGAAATGCCAATCGTTCACCGCTTCAATCAGCAAGTCGTTGCGGCCCCGGAGCCGTGGAGGACACCAGTGGCCACGCGTGATGACCTGCTCATAGCCTGAGGACACCAACCGAACAGTCCGCTGGTGGCTGACACCAACGTGGCGTTGATGTTCAAAGCAAGCAGCACGTTCTGGTGGTGATTACTGGGTTCTCAGCAGTTTCTGAGGAAGGGATGATTGGAAAAAAACAACATCCAACACTAAACCCACACTTCGTGTTGCTGGTGTTTTTTCTTCACCGAGCTGAGGGGAAGGGACTGTGCCATTTCGGGTGCAAATCCAAGCATCGAGCTGCGTCTTCATCATCATCGCAGCCGGCTGGAATGAACGAATCCTCAGAGAATACCACTCAAAGAATGGGAGATCCAATGCCCTAGTGGCCAAGTCCCCCTGCATGTCCACGCATCCAATACATTCAAAACAGTCATTTTTAAACTATCAACCGTCAACCGTAGTAGTATATATGTATACAGGTATACAATTATGTGAGCTCATAATGGCTCATATACAGTATGTCATTCCAGTGGTTTTGCCATCATGCAACTCAATGCGTGATTCTACATGCTGTACCAAAAGGAACTCTATAAAAAAACATTCAATAACAGGCTCCTGAACCAGGACCAAGACGTGTCGCAAACACCGAGTCTCCTTGTATTGAGGAGCACCGGACTGGGCCTTAGAGATGTGAGGCCAACTCCAAAACCAGTCATGCCTTCTTGCTGAGACTGAGTGACTGGCAACGGTGTTGAGAAGAAAGAACAACATGCCGCCGCCGTCTTTGTTGCTTTACCACGCTGCATGGTGCAAAAGAACCATGTAAACTTGCTGTTCAACTGCAGTCGCGACAGCTGCGGTTCCCAAACCAACAGAATTCATCAGAATTCGTGCCCAATCAATTGATTGATCTGTTTGAAGGGGTTCACCGTCCATCTCATTTTGACTATTCACTTGTCATCGTGGCAAACGTGGTAAAGCAGCCTGATTGCAAACCCGGTGGTAGCAACGTGCTCACCACCGCAAGATCGTGATGGACACTTTCCGGTAAAGCCCCTGGAAGGTCAACATGTTCCTCCAAAAGCGCCAGTGACGCCCGCGTTTGAACCACAAACACTGGGTGGAAATCCAGGTCACCCAACCCAAATCGACCTCACTTCTGGGGCTCATCTGGGGCTCCAACAATCTGGACACGATCTTTCTCTGGAGGCTTCACTCGCCATTTGGGCTTCACCTCCCGACGACCGAGCGGACCGCGGTGCGGACCGACGGGACTGGAAAAGTTACACATCCCGCCAACGTGGATGGCGGATGACGAGCTTCCTCTACCAGGAAAACCCCCCAAAAAAACACCTCCCTGATGGCTTCTTTCGGAAAAATGACCCATCCAAATGATGCAAATGACCGAGAACTCTTTCCGACCGATGGTGGTGGTCCCACGGCACCCTGGTGGGTCGGGAGGGCAGGAGGGATCAGAGTGGTCGGAGGGATCTCTGCGTTAGCGGTCTCTGCAAGGGCAGTCGATATGTGTTCACATGTTCCTGCTTTTGGGGAAGCAAATTCAAGTAAATGATAGTAAGTGCTTAATCATCCTGTCTGGGTGTCCTGGCTGGACCCAGCCCACTACTATCCGGGACCTCCAGACAGGACACCCATTGGACGGTGTGGGCCCTGCTGTCACAAGGTCTGAGCCAAGCCTCTTTCAGCGTCTTCGCTTTGCCCATGCTAGGCGTGCACGTGTGGACAATGCAAAACCGGCAGCATCTAAATTGGTTCGAGGGACCTTCAACCTGCACCTGCTGTATGACACATAATGGCTGACATGCTGACATCTACGGACTGAGTGCTTTGCTCATTCAGAAGTAACTTGATGATGATGATGATGATGATGATGATGATTATGATGTGCGTGCCTGCCAATCCTTGGTTGATATATGTACATAAGTTAGTACGCTCTTAAGGGCTGTCAATGGAAATGTTGGTTGGTCACCTGGTTCTATGCGCATTTCGTCAAGCACGAGGTCTCCTCAACATTTTGACCATCACGAGGTCGTTGAATTCGAAGCCAAAACTGCGGGCATCCTTCCAGCACGGCGATGAGGAACCATGAAGTGAGTTATGTCGGCGAGAGGTTCTGGCCGACACATGCCGAAACCAGGCCAACACACACCACCCCTCCTTCCCCTCTTTGTTCCGACCGAGTTCATCGGGGTTGTTGGCCGTCGACTCATCCCTTCCGCACGGTCCTCTTCCCTCGCAAGACCTGCACAGTTGGACGAAGAGAATTCCATGGCGGGGAAGAAAGGCGCGGAGCCCGGGTGGCATTCGCTGCGCGGGGTGTGCAGTCCGGTGCGAACCCGAATGAGATGAGAACTTGGAATGAAAGTTCCTCAGCTTCACGAAGAGGGGGGGAGCAGGGTTGCCTCGTTTTACAAGCCCCAAGGATCGTCAAAGCTTTTGTCAAAACAAGTGGCTCTTGGGGAGTTCAAAGTCCAGTTCCAGAACTGTGGAGCCCAAAGGCGCATCTAGCTTCGCCGCCGCAAAACGCTGTCTATGCCTGCATCTCACACAGTTGGGCTTGGAACCACGGTTCTTCTCTCCGAACTCTAGAGGGACACTTTTGGATCAATAGGGACACTTTTTCGACGCAGCAAGTGGCCCTCGTCTTCGCCTTGAAAGACCAAAAAGGACACGCCGTTTGCTCGCGAAACTCCAACCCGGATCCTAGCCATCCAAGCTCGAGCTCCCAGCTGAGCATCTGCAGCGCAAAGGTCCACCTGGGTGTGACTGGCACATGGTGGGCGCGGGGTCTAGCTTTCTAGCTGCCTTTTAGGAGTCGCGTGAATTACAGCAAACCTGCCAGGCCAAGAGATGTAAAACATTGGAAAACCATTCTGAGACAGTAGCGGTGAAGATCCTCCAAACAAACTTGAGCGAAAGTCCGATGTCGTGAAAACAGGTGAAAACCAGGTGATCACAAGGAATGATCTTTAGGCCCACCTCCCGAATACACATGCTGAAGGGTAGATACTGCGATAACGGAAGGACTCATGGAGGCAAACTACACTTGCACAGCCCACGAAAATGACCAGTGGTTTGGAGAAGGCAGCAGCTTCCTCAAAAGTCAAGGCGGGTCCGATTTCACATTCCTATTGCGTGTTCAGGCGTTTTCAGCCCAGTTTAGAAGTCTGAAGCTCACTTGAGGAAAGTCGGAGAAAAGCGGCAAGGGTTCTTTCATTGTCTTGAAGGACTGCAGGTCCGAATAGGTCCGACATACATGGGCTTGGCGGCTTGACTTGTTTCGAACCGGCATCGGTCATAGCAATCAACCTCGAATGGTGGCCAAAAGAACAGGCCTACATTCATGACCCATGAATGTTCCAATGACCCAAAATCATTTGCAAAACCAAGTCTGATGATTTTGGACGTGGTCGGCGCCTTTGCACATTCACGCTGAGTTGGACTGAGGGCCTAGCCTATGCACTTGGTCACAGGCACTGGCTACTGCCTGAGCAGGCTGGGATCAAGTCGGAGCAACCTCCCAAATGCTCAGCTGCCAAACACAAACCTCACCCCAATCTGTTCGAACGTTTGAAGGCCGAACGAACGGACGAACAGGCGTTGACAGGCTGTCCGTTGACAGACCCAACGCCCAACGCTGAAGCCGAAACGAACCCGTCCGGTCTCGGGCATTCCCACGCTGTACATCGCCACGTCCGGGCCTTGGAGGGCGAGGTCTCCCGGTCCGTCCCGGTTGGTGCTGTCACCGGTGCTGTCACCCGAAGGAGGGAGGGCACGGAGGGCACTGTGTGCATATGACGCGCAGGTCCTGGCACCGCGGAGGTCCTCTTTCCATGTTGACCTAGCCACCACTATGTGGAATATCAAACAATCCGACCTTCTCAAATCCAAAGAAGCGGCTGCGAATCCATATCAACAAGAACGCCAAGAAGGCAAAGACAGTTCACATCACAAAAGCCTTGTTTCATGATGTTTCATGATTTGGCCCCGTGGTTCTTGAATGTTGATGGAAGGCTGTGAGCCATCTGAAGACACTAAAATTACAACGTATCCATCCAAGACATAGCGGACAACAACAACAACAACAAACAGTGTTATATATATATATATATTATAGAGTGTAAAAATTGCTATCTGCCGTGTTTGTTGGAGAGGGTAACTGTATAATCCGTATAACCTCATCAAAATCTGGTACTTACAAACCTTTAAACACACCAGTGTCCAACTTCCAGTCCAATTCTCTTCCCTGTGTTTCCACCCCAAAGAGGTCGGGCCCTGTGTCTTAAGTGCCTCTGTGCGGCGAAGCTTCCTTGAGCGTAGCTCCTGGAAAAGACTCCATGCTCGCTCCCCCTGCGGGCGTGAATGTGCGAGCGGCACCATTTGGGTCGTCTGGCCAAGAGGGGGAAGATGGAACGCACATCACCCCAGTTACGAACGCACAAACCGGCAAAACAAGGTGTCAAGCATGTTTCAAGCATGTCCGCAAGCCATCGCACAGTCTCATACAATTGATCTTTTTTGTAAGAGCAAACACGCAACGGGACATTTCTAGTGACACATTCCAAGTCCGCAACTTGCTAACATTCCAGTGTTTTGTGGAGATGTCATGGCACGGCACTCCCTTTGAATGGTGATGTGTAAAGGATTGAAATGGATAGGATTTCACCAAAATATGTTTGGAAGCATCCTGGGTTCTTGGTGTGAACACCAGTTTGGAGGATGGTCATGACCCGACCCAAGGCCACCCATCTTCATCAGTTGTTCCTTGGAGAAGGATGGTCTTCCCACCATCTTCAGGAATCCAAGTACTTCCTTCGGACAAGCCAAAGCCTTCCTTTTTGGACCAGCACCACGACGACTGACCGAGGAAAAAGGCCAAAAACAAACGAAGCTCACGGACGACTCGGAGTAAACGAACGAACTCGAAACAGCTGAGGAGCCGCGGAGCCTCTTTTGCGCATGGATGGCGGACGGTCTCGCTTCTCACATGGCAGAAAGATAATGGAAAAAATGGATCACCCATCTTAGAGTCCAACCAGTAGGGAAATGAAAAATCTACAGCCACACCTGGCACTACAGCAACTCAGTGGTATATCTGTCATTCATTTCATATAACTACAGCATATTAAAATTATATATATATATATATACTACTGTATTAGTGTTTCTTTGAGGCATCCCTAATTATTTCGATCCATCCTCCATCTTCACATCTCAGGCGGAGCTGCTCAAAGCTCCTGCGAGCTGCGATGCGGACTTTGCCTTTCGACTTCGCCTGGCTTTCCTTTTTCCCGAATGCGTAGCGAAGGGTTCTCGTTTAACTCTTGGGGGTCTGGGGGTGGAGCCTTGTTCGTGACCCGTTGTTTCTAAGTTCGCAGCCGTCCGCAACAGTTCGCAACCGTCCGCAACCATCCGCAACCGTTCGCAACCGTTCGAAACCGTTCGCAACCGTTCGCGGTAGAGCGCTAAGGCGCTGCCATTGGGGGAAGCTTTTGCAAGAGACTATTCATGTCACGTGTCAGTTTGCGCCGCTATTCCATTGTGATTTGCATGAACATGACATGTCGCGCAAGAAGCGTGATGCATTTCGCTGCACAGGCGCAGCGTTTTGTGAGATCCGCAGTTTGCTACGCAGTTCCATTGGGATTAGCGTTTGGAGAGTCGTGTTTTTGGGGTGTTGGATGTGGCCGTGCCATTGGGATTTGCGTTTCAGGGTGTGGCATCGAAGCTCTGTTTTCGTGACAAGTCTCAGCTGAAATGCCGATTTTGGTGGATGGGAGTGTGCTCAGAACGGGTCGAAATCATTCCAAACGTGTGGTGTGGTGCAAATTTTGTTGATGCTCACATGAGATGACATTGTTACTTTTCGTGGCAGGGGCAGGACTTTGTGCGGGTTTTGAGGTGTGGAAGTGGGATTTTCGTGGCAGGCGCAAGGAACCGTGAGGTTGCGATGTGTGACGGAGGTGACATTTCGTGGCAGGCACAGTACTTTGTGCGCGTTAGACGTGTGGACGCGGAAAGATTCGTGGCAGGCGCAGGGAATCGGGAGGTTGTGAGTTGTGGTAGAGGTGAATGTCGCTGTCGCATTGGGATTGGCGTGTGAGCGGGTGTCGTTTGGAGGGGCTGGACTTGCGAAACTGCTTGGCAGGGCTGCGTGATGTGTGTGTGCTCCGATGGGTGTTTCCGCTGGACTTTTGGAGGAAGTCTCGTGCGAAACGTTCGTTTTGCAGACTTTGACATGTGAGTTTTTGAGGAAGTCTCGTACGAAACGCTCGTTTTGGGGACTTGACATGTGACTTTTGGAGGAAGTCTCGTACGAAACGCTCGTTTTGGAGACTTGACGTGTGACTTTTGGAGGAAGTCTCGTAAGAAACCCTCGTTTTTGAGACTTGACGCGTGACTTTTGGAGGAAGTCTCGTACGAAACGCTCGTCTTGCAGCCTCGCAGCGTGACTTTTGGAGGAAGTCTCGTACGAAGAGTGTGCCCTACAGGAGTGTCCCACAAGAGTGTCCTACAAGAGTGTCCCACAAGAGTGTCCTAGAGTTTCCTACAAGAGCGTCCCACAAGAGTGTCCCACAAGAGTCTCCTACAAGAGTGTCCCACAAGAGTGTTCCGTATGAGTGTCCCACAAGCGTGTCCCACAAGACAAGTGTCCCACAAGACAAGTGTCCCACAAGAGTGTCCCGTATGAGTGTCCCACAAGAGTGTCCCGCATGTCCCACAAGAGTGTCTCACAAGAGTTAAGAGTGTCCCACAAGA